AACTCTTAGATGAGAAAATTCCCTCTAACAATGCAAGTAGGCATCTTCTCTCTGCAATTTACAGTCTTAAAGAGTTGTCTAGAACACCCAAGTGGTTAAGTGGTTTGCTCAGGGTCACACAGTCAAATTCCACTACTTTTTAGGCCTGATTTTTCTTTTATTTTCTTCTAGTTTTATTTTTATTGATACTTTTGTTTTTACATCTCATTTGTCTCCAAATATATCTCTCCCTCCTCCCCTAACAATGGAGTCATCCTTTGTAAGATTAAAAAGAGGGGAGGGGAACAGTTCAGCAAAATTAACTGCTTCAATAGTATCTGGAAGTAAATGCGATATTTCATGCCCATAGTCCCCCTACTTCTTCACTGATGGGAGGGAACTCTCCTGGGGCTGTCTTCGGTCAGTATAATTACAGTGTTCAGTTTAGCTTTCTATGTTCTTTGCATTTACCTTGCTGTAGACATTATGTATATTGTTTTCACCTCAGAGCTATTGTAAGCCTAAAATGAAATAATTGGGGTGAAAGTGCTCTAGAAAATAAAAGAATGTTATGAACGTATAAGGCAATATGGTCCCTGTGTAATGGATGGTCTGTTTTCTGAAAACCAGCTCTAACCAACTACTGAGAGGATCACCCCTGAGAGACTGGCCACTTGGGTGATGAGGTCTTTGGTCACAGCAACCTATGGAAAAACCTAAGGCATTACAGCACCATTACTTCATTAAAAGCACCCATCTCAACCACAACCAAGTGTAATCAAGAAATGAACTTGGTTGTTTAGAGATGAATCTCTATTGGGAGAGACAAGTGAGCAAAAATCCCCTGCATTGAAGTTTTCTCATCATTGTTAACAATTCTCGAAAACCTCACATGAGACTCTCCACACGAGAAAGTGGAAGAAAGCTATTCCCCGACCCATCCCTTGTCCCTGCTTCATCCACTTAAGCAGGGCCCTCGACTTCATTTATGCATCTCCTTTAGAGGCAGCTTAGTGGCCCAGTGGAGAGGGTACAGGGTTTGGAGACAGGAAGAACTGAGTTCTGATATGAACCCAGATGCTTACTAGTTCTGTGACCCTAGGCAAGTCACTTAACCCCTGTCATTCTGTTTCCTCAATTGTAAAATAGGGATAATAACAACACCAACCTTACAAGGATGCTGAAAGGATCAAATGAAATGGGATTTATTAAGTGCTTAGCACAGTGCCTGGTACATAGTAGGTACTTAATAAATGGTTCCCTTTCCTTTCTGAGAAGAAAACAAAGTCACATGCTATTAGCAATCAGGACCAGAACCAAGGGTTCTTGACTTCCATACCAAATTCTAAATGATTATGCCTTTGGCACTCTAGGCCCCAGTTAGCTTCATTTTGAACGACAGCTTGAGAATAATCAGGGAAGTGGAGAATTCTTATGAGTCAGAAGTGGGAAAACTGAGTATCTCTCCATTGTAATTTTCTAATAAGAAATGGAAAACTTATAAAAATCAGGATCATCTTGGCTTTAAGCTTATGCAGTCCAGTGACAGCCCAGCACTAACAAATGACATGATACGAAGGGGCAGCTAGGTGGCGCAGCAGATAGAGCTCTAGCCTTGCAGTCAGAGGACCTGAGTTCAAAGCCAGCCTCAGACACTTGACACTTACTAGTTATGTGACCCTGGGCAAGTCACTTAACCCTGACTGCCTCACCAAAAAAAAAAAAAAGACATGATGTATTACCGCCACTTCATAAATAAGGGAAGAAGTAAGCTGAGGTAATTTTGTTGTTGAATTGTTTGTAGTCGTGTCTGACTCTTCGTGACCTTATTTGGGGTTTTCTTGGCTAAGATACTAGAGTGGTTTGCCATTTCCTTCTCTAGATCATTTTACAAATGAGGAAACTGAGAAAACGCAACAGGGCTAAGTGACTTGCCCAGGATCACACAGCTACTGTCTGAGGCCAGATTTGAAATCAGGAAGATGAGTCTTCCAGACTCATATATAATGTGTATTACATACATACATGATATGTGATAGAATTTCTATAGCCTTAGAGACCACATAGGTTCAGCCACCTAATTTTATAAGGATCACTGAACATCAGAACTAGAAGAATATTAGAGATTATCTAATTCAACCTTCTCATTTTACAGATAAGGAAACTGAGGCCCAAGGGCTTCATAAAGTGATTTGCCCCAAAGCATTGCAGGTCATTAGTGGCAGGGCTAGAGCTAAAACTTCTAACCATTCAGTGCTTTTCTCAATAGACCAAAACCATTGTGCACTTGTCCAGCTTTTCTTCCAGTCTTCTCTATCAGATAGTGACCTGTGACTGAGCTCACAAGACCACCATATCCTGCTTCCATGATAAAACCACAATTGATTCTCAATGTGAGCTTTGTACTACTCTGCTCCACTTTGGGAGGGTGTCCATAATCCACAGTGAGAAAGAATTTATGCCAAGCGGTAAGTAAAGAATTCTAGTTTCATTTATTTTTCTATTTGTACACTGTCCCAGCCCCACCTCCTCCCCTGGGAAGGTCAGAGCAATAAAACATTTGTGTGGGTTGGTCATTTTTAGCACTAAGTTTCTAATCTCTATTTAGAGCAGTACCTTGTATACAGTGTGTGAGCTTAGAAAGTAAGCAGGATGGTGTGTGAATGATTTTACCTGGAATAAGAAAGAGGAAGGGGTAAGCCATGGGTACACAGCACCATAAGATAAAGGGATATATTGTCAGGCCCTCCAGAAAGTTGAAGGATAGCATCCTTCTACATCTCACCTCACTTCCAACACTACCAAGCTTTGGAACAATTACATTTGAGAGAAGCACCTTGCTCACCCTTTCCCCAAAACCAATCACAGTCTAGGCCCAGAATGTCAGTTCAGAGGACGGCAGTCTCAGAGGCCCAGCCTGCACCGGAACAGCCCCAGAAAGACCAAGTTATTCCCTTTGCAGTCATATGTAAGTGGAACCAGGAAGTTTGGGTACCAGTCTTAGTGGTCTAGTACAGGCCAGCATTTAGACCTGAACAAGAAATGGTTCTCTGAGAAATGTTCCAAAGAGTTTGTCAAGATCAGAATTGACCTGGGAGTTCTAAGGTGTAAACTGCCCTCCCCTCAAGTCCAGGATTGTACAGCCACTCTGAAACTATCCTGTTCACCTCACAGTTAGTTTGCCTTCCTGTTTTCTTGATGTCATATAGCCCACAAGCCCAGACAAACAGAACCAACTGTTAGGTTTTCCTGATATTAAAGAATAGGGAATAAAATAACCTGGGAATAGAAATCTGAGAAGCAACATGGAACAGTAGATAAAGGACCCACCTTGGAGTCAGAAAGACTGGGGTTTGAGGCCCACCTGTAACATTTACTAGCTATGTGACCCTAGGCAAGTCACTTAACTTCCAAGTACCCTCAGGCAACTCCTTAAGAAGGTAACTTACAGATGAGTAGTGAAGGGAACTTCTATGCCAAGAGCTCCCCACACATCTGGGAGGTCCAGATTCACCCTTCTATCCTCACTCCCCAAATAACAATACATTGATATCCCCTATTTTTGCCTTTTAATTTTAACTTCTTTTACCAGAGCTAATAAGTCATCTTATCTCTAGCATAGTGTAATCTACATGTAGGTACACAAAATGTTTTCAAACATGATGATTTATTTTTTATTTCCAATCTTCAGTCCTCCATACATTTTGATTGTAATGATGAAATAACTGAAGGGCAAAAGAGAAACAGGACATCTGAATAACTGTCTAAAATAGGGGTTCTTAAGCTGGGGTCTGGAAACTTCTAAAAAATATTTTTACCATATTCCAATATAATTGGTTTCATTTGTAATTTTCTTTTTATTTTATCTATTTAAAAATATTCTTCTGAGAAAGGGTCCATAGGCTTCATCAGACTCTCAAAGAGTCCACAAAGCACAAAAAAAAAAATGAAGAACTCCCCCTCTAAAGCCATGTGCCCCTGATAGTTGTCTGTAAACATTTGTTGACTACTTACCAAGAGTCAATATTGTTTTGAATCAACCAAGGGCCAAAGATTCCTTAAGATCCATCATGTCAGCTATAGCACTACTAGGCCTATACCCCAAAGCAATCAAAGAAAAGGGAAAATGACCTATTTGTACAAAAATATTTATAGCAGCTCTTTTTGTGGTGGCAAAGAATTGGAAATTGAGGGGTTGCCCATCAACTGGGAAATAGATGAACAAGTTATGGTATATGATTGTGATCGAGTATTGTTGTGCTATAAAAAATGACAAGCAGAATGGTTCCAGAAAAATCTGGGAAGACAGATATGAACTGATGCAAAATTAAGTAAGAATCAGGAGAACACTGTACACAGTTAACAGCAACAATGTAACAATGATTAATTTTGAAACACTTAGCTACTCTGATCAAGACAATGATCCTAGACAATTACAAAACTCATGATGAAAAATACTATCCACCTCCAGGAAGAGAACTAATGAACTCTGAGTACAGATGGAAGCATTTTTTTTTAAACTTTATTTTTCTTGTTTTTTTTACATGTGTTTTGCATGAATTTACATGCATAATCAATATCATATTGCTTCCCTTCTCCAGTGGTGGGGAGCAGCGGGAGGGAGGAAAAGAATTTGGAACTCAAACATTTTTAAATGTTAAAATTTTTTTACATGGTAATTGGGAAATATTTAATAAAATAAATCTATGTGTGTATGTGTGTGTGTGTGTGTGTGTGTGTGTGTGTGTGTGTGTGTGTGTGTGTGTGTGTATACATATCCATCATGCCAAGACTCCAACTCTGCCTGAAGCCTCCTTCTTTCCAGAGCAGTCATTTCTAAGTCCCAGGTAACTTATGGGGGAAGTGGGGAACATAGATATGATTATTCCATTGGTGCTACAGTGACCCACTTTAATGTATCCTAAGTTTAAAACGCAGAAAACAATTGCTTTCTCTCAACACACTCAGGCACCACTCAGTATTATACACCCACCGATTAAACAAACTATGACAAAGCTGAATGCTTTTTGAAAGTATCACTTTAATAAATACGATAAGGCCAACAGCAATTATCCTTTTGATCACAGGGAGCAGTTTGACTTCTATTTAACGTACTAGAACTACACTTTCAAGATACACTCGCAGATTAGGGGAAAAAAAGTTTCCAATACCTTATAATGAAAAGTTTAGGTAATATGAAATATTGCAGTTTGCCCCAGTTTTTCCTATTAAATATGACCTACTATTAGTCTCTTTCTAACTGCATATGACCAGCAAAGAATGACTCCCCTCCTGTGCTATCTTGGGAACCAGCAGATTGGCACCCAAATTACCTTAAAGGGTCACTTCTCAGTAGGTGGCTCATAAAGTCAACTAACGGTAAGCCAGTTAGTTATATGGTTCACCAAATGCCACTTAGCTAAGAGTCCTGAAAGCTCCTTTAAACAGAAATAAAATGCAGATGAACAGCTGCAGAATGTATTCAAAAAAGGGAACAGTAAAATGTTATTTTTAACACATGGCAAACTTGAGGCAAAAAAAAAAAATCCACAGCACACAAGACAGGGTGCAAACAACCCATCCAGAGAAGAGCCCAAATACAGAACCATATGGACTTGTTAACTTCAATCTATACAGAACAGGCCAGCCCCCACTAAATGGTCATTTTGAAGAGGGGCCTTTTTGTTTTCATCAAAGGGATGTAAATCGTCAACAAAGTCCCCATTACAGGGACACCAAGAATCTTTCTCTGACACTGACTGTTTGCCAAAGAAGAAACTCTAGCCGTTGGGACAGACTGCCCACATGTTGTGTCAATGGCGAAGGGCCTGCCCATAAATTAACCCATAAATTAATTTGGCAGCTGTCATCTCAATAGGCCCGACGACTTTCCACAACACAACAGGACAGACTTTTTTTTTCTTCCAAAGGAGTGCTTGCAGGAAGAGGAGAATGTACTGATGGTCTGCCAGAAACAAACAATGGGCAGACGTAACAGGAAAAGAGACTTTGAGAGTATCTCCTCAACACACACCCCCTACAGTCAGACGCATCCCTCCTCCAAGTCTTCTAAATGGACTCCAGGATCCAGTCACTGTTGGAGAGAGAAGTGACAGGCAGCGTAAAGTCCATCTGGGCACCTTGTTCTCTCCCATTGTGAAGCGAACCATGCTCCTGGAAATATTCTTCCTCTTCATCAAAGAAGCCATTTTCCAGGGCATAAGAGCAGTCTGGGCTGGAGGCTGCTTGGCAAGCCCCCTTGTATTCCTGAATTGACTCATAGAGGGAGTACAGTTGACAGAGCAATGACATGTCCAGCTGTCGAAGGCCAACCTTTCATGGAAAGGGGGTGGGGATAGAAAAAGAGAGAGAGAAGAAAACAAAGAGTCAGCATTTCCGTTTCATTTTGGTTGAACAATCATATCTACATTCTGCTGGCATCCACGCATTCTTTCCCTGAAGCTGATGATTCAACGCATCACTGGGAGAGAAGTTCAAGAAAATATGAATTGTGATATCACCACACCTCAGACAGTTACTCAGCATGTCAGGGAAGGAATACTGCCTAGGGGCTGCACACATTCCATGGGATTATCCCAGGGCTCCTCTAGATGATGCAACAGTGCTGACACACCCTGACACCTCCAGCCTGTTTCACTGTGAACACTGGGACACAGGCCTACCATATACAATCACTGTGGTCTGATCAAAAGAAAGCTCACCAGGTGCTGTTTTCACATTAGTTTCCCTCCTCCTCTTACTGGATTAGAGACCAAGTAAATCAGTAATCCTTAAGATTAAGGGGAGTCAGCAAACCTTTAGGTACTGGGACCATTTCACTTTGAAAAGGAGAAATACTAATGCCTAGTAAGGTTTTCCCCTAAGTTAGTACCCATGGATCTTGAATTATTATTATTATCATTGTCATCATTATTAGTTGTATTTACACTAAGCTTTAAGGTTTGCAAAATTATCTCTCTCTCCATATATATACATATATATATATATATATATACATACACACACACACACACACACACACATACATACACATATCCTCATACAACCCTGGGAAGAGGGTACTATTATTATCCCTATTTTACTGATATAGAAACTGAGGCAGATCTAGTTCAGTAATTTGCCCAAGGTCAAGCAGCTAGTAACTCTCTGAGGAAGGATTTGAACTCATCCTTCTGGCTCCAAGTTTAGTGCTCTTGTCCACTGTGCCACTTAACTGGTAAATGAAAAACTTAGAGAAGCAGGAGTCCCCTCTGTCTCAGTGTAGCTGATTACTTCAGGCGACAGCTGGTGCATCCATCAGCACCCATAGTTTCTTGAGTGGGGTCTACTCCACTATGTGTTGGAAGTGGATAATTCTAGAGCAGGACCCAGGTGGAAACCAAGTTCCTTGGTTTCCCCTGAGCTCACTTCCTTTTTACAATTAAAGATTAAAGCACAAAGTTTATATGCCATAGTGCTCTTCAAACACCACCACAACCACCACCATCACTATCATCATCACTGTCACTATCGCCGCCACCCAGTCCTAGGGCTAGGGCAAGATAGAAAGTGACAAAGCATGCTGATTATTATTATTATGCTGCTTCTATCCACTTTGCACATCTCAAAGCACTGTAGAGATCAAGCCTAGGTCAGAGTGGATGAGTAGTACCCCCAAAAGCACCTTAGTACAAGTAGGAGTCAGGAGATGGGGAATCCTGGTAGAACTTAGTTAACCTTGAAATTCTACCTCTAACCGACTGTGTTATCTTGAACCCCAGTAGAACTTAGATAACCTTGAAGTTCTATCTCTAACTGACTGTGTTATGTTGAATAAGTCGCAGAATCACAGAATTTCTAGTTGAAGGGACCTCAAGCAACATTAGCACAGATTACAATTGAAAAAAAGAAATCCTAACCACAACATACCCCAACATACCCTATGAGTGGTCCTCCAGCCTTTGACTTGAAAATCTCCAGGGGGGAAATCCCCCACCTTCCTAAGTAGTCTATTCTGCTTATACACAGCTCTGATTTTTAGGGAGTTTTCCCTGACATCAAGTTGAACTTTGTCTCTTTGCAACTTCTGTCTGGAGCTTCTTCTGGTCCTGCCTTTTGGCATCATCCAGAACAAGTCGAATTCCCCCTTCCCCAGAAGAGTCCTTCAGATCTTTGAAGACAGCTATCACGACATCCCCTCCCAACCCCATTCTTGCCTCTGCTTGAAGCTCTCTCATCCAAGCTAACCATCCCTAGCTCCCTGAAGCCTCACATGCAAGGAGTCAAGCACCTTTTCTATCCTGTCTGCCCTCTAGCTTGTCCCTTGGCCTTTATGTGCCTTTATATCCTTATCTGACACAGCTAGCTCACAAGGTTGTCCTGAGATGTAAATGACACGTCTGTGAAGGTACTTTTTTTTGTTTGTTTGTTTTTACTTACACAACTGGGGTTAAGTGACTTGCCCAGGGTCACATGGCTAGTAAGTGTCAAGTGTCAGGTTGGATTTGAACTCAGATCCTCCTGACTCCAAGGCTGGAGCTCTATCCACTGTGCTACCTAGCTGTCCCAGAAAGTACTTTTAAAATACACATAGGTCAGGCATCATTGGGATGATCATTAGAGTAAGGACTCATCTGACATCAAATAAATGAATTCCTTCAATAAACTTATCCTAGACTCTAGTGATACAAAGATGAAAATGATAGTTTCTTCTGGTACATTGAAAAGAGCAATGAACTGGGAGTCAGGGGACCTGAGTTCAAAACTCCACCCTGATGCCTCCATCAGCTTGGACAAGTTCCTTAACCTTTCTGGCCTCAGTTTCCTCATCTGTACAATGAAGGAGCTTGGCTAGATAACCTCTAGGGTCCCATACAACTCTAAACTTATCATTCAATGATCTTTTAATGAGTTTAAATCTACTAGTGGGGAATATGATATTTATCAATCAACCAGCAAGGACACATATGCCAACGGCAAGAGACAAAGATCAAACAATCCCCGCCCACCCCCAAGGAACTTACATTCCAAGGGAGGTAGGGAAGGAAGGGAGAGACATGTATAGACAATATAAAAACAAGATAAAAGGAGATGAATGGGGCAGGTAGGTGGATAGAGCACCAGGCCTGGAGTCAGAAAGACCTGAGTAGCTGTGTGATCCTGGGCAAGTCACTTAACCTTGTTTGCCTCAGTTTCCTCATCTGTAAAAGGAACTGGAGAAGGAAATGGCAAACCATTCCAGTATCTTTGCCAAGAAAACCCCAAATGGGGTCAGGAAGGGTCAGACATGACTGAACAACAACAAAAGAAGGTGAAGCTTGAGCAGAGTGTTGAGGGAAACTGAGGCAGACATAACAGCATATGCAAGGTAGACAGGAAAGAGAACATACATTTATAAAGCTCCTAGTGAGGGCCAGGCAAGGCGCTAAGTGATTTACAATTCTCTCATTTGATTCTTTCAACAACCCCGGATAGGTGCTATTATTATTATTCCTATTTGACAGCTGAGGAAACTGAAGCAGATGGGTGAAGTGACTAGCCCAAGGTCACACAGCTAAATAAGTAGCTGAGGCTGGATTAGAACTCAGGTCTTCCAGGCCCAGTGTTCCATCCATTGCAACACCTCTCTGCCTAGAACAGGGGTAAACCTGCACAGTGTTGAGGCCACATGTGGCCTTCTGGGTCCTTTCATGCGGCTTTTTGCCTAAGTCTAAGTTTTACAGAACAAATCTTTTTATTAAGGGGATTTGTTCTGTGAAGTTTGGATTCAGTCAAAGGGCTGAACTTGAGGACCTAGAGGGCTACATGTGGTGTTGAGGCTGAAGGTTCCCCACCCCTGGCCTAGAATATGATACAGGCAAAGGAAAAATTCTTTACACACTTGTCCAGTAAATGGTGTTAGCATGGCAAAGTGTATGAAATTGGGCTAAGAGTCCTCCCCAACACTTACTAGCCAAATGACTCCAGGAAAGTCAGTTAGTCCCTATGTGCCTTAGGAAATTCCTCAGAAAGAGTTCTCACACCAGGAAATCCCCACCCTGAAGTCTCAGATGGTGCATTCATTATTGACATTACTAAATTCCAATTTTACAAACTGGGAAGCTAAGCCCCAGCAAGAGGACAGAACCAATGTTTGTAGGATTAGGAGCTGGCTTCTAGGGGTGCTCTTCAGAGAAGCAAACCTCCATAGCCGAATGAACATTTAGGCTCCATCTCCATCACTGAGGGCACCATCTTGTATTTACATAACACCTTCTTCTGAGAAGCTGAAAGGAAGCTTTTTAGATATGTAGCCAAATTTTCCCACTGCTACTACTCCAGGCCACACGGGAGTAGTGAAATATATACCTCTGGAGAGAATAGTGACAAATCCTTCAGGACTATCACAAAAAGTGCTTCCCAAGGAATCTAGAGTCCCAAGTCATAGTCCCTGCTCCACCATGTGATTTGAGACTTTGTGCAAATCCAACCTCAGCCTGTAAGCTTAGTTTAATTGGACTACATGATCCCAGTCTCAGTTCTAACATGTTATGATTCTTGTAGCAATTTATTGCCACCCCCCCTTTTTTTTGGCTTCTAAATCATATCCAAGAGACTGGAAGTAGTTGGTGAGCCTCCAAAGTCTTATGCCTTGTGGCAAGATCTGGTTTCAGATAATTTAGAAACCCCTCATTTTGCAAATGAGAAAACTAAAGTTCAAGCACGTAAAATATCTTGTTTAGGGTCACACAGGTACTAATAATTAGAGTCAGGACCTGAACTCAGGTTGTATTAGGAAACAGATATATTTATAAGTAAGCAGGAGAATTAGAAATGAGCCCAGAGCTCCACATGCGTGTGTTCAGATCCACTCATACTTATCTAGATAGTCACCTGTCCTTCTCTGGTTTCCGGCATTCCCCTATGTTCTCTTAAGCTTTAGCCAAAAGCAAACCTTCTTTTGCCATGCCATCCTGCAGATCATCTCATCTAGGCTGATCACATCTCTGGCCTTCAGTTTTTTCTTGGCCTTCGGAGGTAAGTACCAAGTGAGTAAATATGTGCATCTGTAGTATCCAGCCTCGTAGGAAACCAGAGCCTAAGCCAGGTGCCCACAGTGGTAGCAACAGCATGCACTTCCTTGGGGTTCTCAAGAAACTTAGCACCTTTCCCACAACTCACGTTCAAGATGATACAGCCTGGTTCTGTGCTTAAGAAAAGAAGAAACTGGACTAGGTGAACTTTAAAGTCTCTCCCACCTCTAAACTGACAGTATATTCTAATGGAATTGATGCCATTACATAGAATGATAAACTTTGATCCATCTCCAAATTAAGGCAAAAAGATGAAAAATC